TTTCTGCAGGTATAATTTTCCTATTTTATCATTTTCTAACACATAGACTGCTTTTTTTTAAATACTATCAGAGCCAGAATCAGAAATACATTAAACAAAGGTCACATTTTCACTTTTCTACTTATGAATTCAAACTGCAATATTTTAATATATCTAGACAAGAATTTAACTTCTGAAACTACCATATCATAAAATGATTTAAGAAATTTTAATATTCTCAGATATTTAGTAATACAACATATTTTAATGAGTAGTAATACAAGAGTAATTTTCTATGATTAAAACATCATAATTATAGAAATGTGAAATATATAGTATTGAAATAGTAACATATTTACATTAAATGCAAATATTAAGTTTTCTGTATAGTATTCTCAGGTAATATATAAGAAAGGTATAAACCATTCATAAAGTACTATTTCTCAAATGTAACATCCTAGAGTCTCTGAAATAAACTACTTTGGCTTCTTAAACTTTATGTATAGTACCCTGTATTTATTTAACTATTTTCCTAAAGTTTAAAAAAATGTATATATGTATTCACACACAATACAGAAAGTAGATCATGAAATTTATGTGTGCTAAGGGCCGAAATATGTCACAATCAAGTGACGTCATGGCTCACATTATTCCACTTAGGATGGGAGTAATATGAGTGAAATGGTATGCTGATGGACTTAGAGAAAAAAGGATGAGTCCACATGGAAATGAAAAACAATTAGCTCTCCAAAATGACAACCATAATCTAGAAAGTGTAATTGGACACAGAGAAGTCTGAGAATTCCCTCTCTGCGCTCTGCCCCTACAGGCTAACAAAGAAGGTTTTCACTCTCTTGTTGGTTCCTCACATGGCGGTAGAAGGGGCCAGGATTCTGTGGGTCTTTATATAAGGGGGCACTAATCTCATGTAAGAGGGCCCCAGCAGCACGACCATAAGCTCTGTTAGGAACATAACCCTTTCTCTATTGATAATCAGTTTCAGCCTCCATAAGCACTCTGGAAAGAACTAAAACAGTTGAGAATGTTCTCAAGCTTTTTATGATGTCAAGAATATGCATGATGACCCAGCATGGACAAAGTTTGATAAAGTCTGCACAAATGCTTTAATATTGATATCAGAGATTTTTTCAGTTTTGTCTTTTAATGAAAGCAAAAATTGTACAAAGGAAAAAGATTATGTTAGTTGCAAATTAGTTAAAGAAAATAATGATAAAGCAAAGTACTATTACTTATGAATAGAATAAAAGGAAAATCTAGCTTTTCACTTCATCAGGATAGAGTACACAGTTGTTGATGCTACATGGACTCTACACACCACTAAGAAAAATGATACTACTAAATAACAAACCTAAGAAAGTGTTGGTGGAAAGTGCATCCTAGTTTTAGAGAAGTTAAAAATGAGAGAAAAAATAGTTTTAGAACTGATAAATTTTAGACTGGGTGTGTTGGCACACACCTGTAATCCCAGCTCTTGGGAGGCTGTAAACAGGTGGATCACTACAAGTCTGATCTAGTAGTGAGACCCTGAACACCCTGTAGACCCTTCCCTAAAATACAAAAAAAAAAAAAAAAAAAGTTTTAAAAAGTGGATTAAAGTGCTCACAAGCAGCCTCAGGGGTCAGGGGTTCGATCCCTGGGCCTACCATGCCGGCCCTACCCTCGGGGTACACTGAGACAGCAACTGAGACTGGGCGTGGTGGCATGCACCTGTAATCCCAGCACTTGGGAGGCTATAAACAGGAAAATCACTATAAGTCTGATCTAGTAGTGAGACCCTGAAAACCCTGTAGACCCTTCCCCCTCAAAAAATACAAAAAAAAGAAAAAGAGAATTGAATTTTTACAATCCTTCAGAGACAGTTTTGGACTTGTAAACCTTATTGTAAAAGAATGATTTTAAAAAGGCATTTTATGGGAGGGGAATCAAGAGATGGAGGGAGAAGAGAGAAAGGGGAGGGAAAGATGATGAGAAGCAAAATTAAGATGCGTTCTGCACACGTACCAACTCCACACAGAGTGTAACTGTTATGTACTGCAAACAAAAAAATAAGGAGGCATTTTGTCACTTTGAGATATTCCTAGGAAAGGTGTGTCTCAATGCACAATCCAGAAACCTAATTGGCTAAAACCCCAAAGACAATCACATGGAAAATGAAAAACTAAACTGCATTACTCCTCCATAGCAATTTAAACATTACGGAGCTTATCTGATGCTGTGAATCAGAACAGGAAGTCATCTTGCCTCTCTTCAGTGTTCATGTTAATGACTATGATATACAGCCAGAGAACTATTATATGTGCATCTGTCATGAAATCTAAATGTTGTATCTCCTCCTGGCACAAATACTTGTGTCACAGGCCTGCACTGATAACTTCTATAATTGATACATGTAACCACCCCAGAAATAGCAAGCATAACTCTTATTTAAAAGAATAGTGCAATTGAGAGCTCCATTAGGGTATGAAATATATTGGGTGGAGGCTGAAATTTAGGAAGATAGTTTAAAGCCAGACTACAATTATTTTCAAAGCATGGGCTGTGCAGATAATGAGAAAGGTGTTCAGACCAGCTCGTTGATGCCAGGCTGTGTGTACTGTGCACAATCTGCCCACTGTGATGAGGGGTGGGGACAACACGGGGAAAGTCCTGCTCGGTGCTGATAGCAGGTAATAGGCATTATTATGGTACAGGATGTTAGTGTCAATCTCTAATTGCCAAAAGTATATATTAAAGGACAACAATCTCTAAATGGTTATCATATATTTGAGAAACAATCATTGAGAAATCATGACTGGCTTTAGACAATCACTGAAGTCATAAATTTTTCAAAGGTTTTTATTTACAGTGGACCAAAGCTTGGAGGAGCATTGAGAATCTCTTCTTTTACAGGCTTGCTCGTCTTCCAGGAAACATGGTAGATTGTTCCATAATTGTTCCATTTGTTCATTCAAAATTCATTATTCTCTATTTTCAAGAATATGTGCTAAATGCTACAGATATTGGTGTAAAGAACAAACACCGATTTCAAAGTTCACATTTTGTTGGCAGAATAGAAACATAAGCAACTGTGGTGCCTCATAAAATTACATTTATATTACAGGAAAATTTGGGAGCACAGTGGGGTGGCATCGGAGGCAGGCAAAGGCGGCTAAGTATGGATTTCAGAGCTGTGGCTCACACTAAATGTTTGGAAACAAGCTGGCTTGGGGAAGCGGGAGCGAGGCCTGGGTGTCAGGTGTCAGGTCAGCTTCTCAGGGCAGCTGAGGGCCGGCGAGTGGAGGAAACCACAAGCGCGCTGCTGCGTGAACCCGCACAGCCCACATCTTTTGAAATCAGCTCCATTGCAAGGCAACTACTATGCTCCATTCTTGGTGCTGGGGAGATATTTCAGAAATTTACACAGATATGCATAGGACAAGAAATTTTAGAGAAATTACATTCTGTAGAAGTTCAGCGAGGGATTTCAAAGAGAGAAGCCAGTAATATGAGAGAAGATGAGAGATGCTGATGTCACCAAGCCCACAACAGACAGATGAGATGGCACCAAATGCTAATGCACGAGTTTCCATTTTTAGGGATAGAAACTTTTGATTTCTAAGTTCTTTAGATATAATCAACCTTAATATGTCATCTTATTTGAATTGGGTATCTGTAGAATCTAAACCCACTTATAAATGGTAGATGAGGTTAGACTATCCTTCTGTATTTGATTCAGGAAGACAAAAGCATAAAAATCAATCAAACTGGCAAGACTTCAGAGCTGCTCGGAAATTCCTCAGTATCATTTCAATACATGATTCATTATTTAGGGTGCAGACACATAATTAAAGATGGGTAAACATACCTATGCATCCTTTTGTGTCTTTTAAAACATGCATACAAGTTAGATTATTGTGTTTCAAATACTGTGTTGATAGATTCAGTGAATTTTAAGCACAATACAACTCAAACTTTTAAAATCTTATACTTATTTTGTTTATAAATATTCATAGTCTATTTTTAGGGATTATATTATATTTTATATATTATATTTTAATATAATTATACCATAAAATGAAATAACTTCTATTTTGACATCAATTCTATTTAGTCTTATTCTAACTTTATGTTTAAACGGTATTTTATTAAAACAATCTATTCAAACAGAACACCTAAGCAAATAATTGCACAGCTTTTGTGTGCGTGCTTGTCTGCATGTATCTATGGGTGAGTCGCATCAGAGATTTAACCCAGGACCTTCATACTGAGCTATATCTCCACCCCTTTTAAAAAAATGTTCGAGTTTCGGGCCAGGTCTCCTTAAGTTACCCTGACTCGGCTCAAACGCTGTGATACTTTCAGAATGTGGGGGTTACAGGAATGTGTCAACATATTTGTCTTGCACAACATATTTGTATGACAGATTTTGTTGGAAAGAGCAAGTATTTCTTTAGTGCCAGTTACTTTCATAATTACTTCAGGATCCATTCAATTGTATAATAATCCCACGGTGTAGTTAAAATAATTATTCTCATTTTTCAAGTGAGGAAGTTGAAATATGGAAAGGTTAAAAGGCTAGCTCAAGATAATGCAGCTAATTAATTGGGTGTGTTAAGATCTCAACAGAGTCTTGGGTTTTAAGAGTCTGAGCTTTCTCTACTGTTTTATATAATTCCTAGTTAAACCAAGTGTTTAAGCATAATGAAAACATGGAGTGGTTCATTTTAGGCTTCCAATAAAACTACAATTAACAATAACTTTCTTCTAAATGACTTGTTTCCACAGACCAAAAAAGCCACAAGCTGTTGTATGCAACAATTCTTTGTAGGTAACAGCTGCTGTGCTTTATGCAGTTTCCACAAAGCTCACCAATGTTAATATCAATTAGAAATGAGGAGGAAAATTATTTTAGGTAACATAACATTTGACAAGTGCCTTAGTAAATAAAACACTGCCAAGGAGCAAAAATATTTTTATTCTGTTAAAACTTTCCTGTTTTTCTATGTTGGCTTTTTTCAAAGGTGTCAATTGTGAATTACTAATTGATCAATGTTGGTCCCAGCCCTGTCTAAATGGCGCAACTTGTCGGGATGCCCTGGGGGCTTACTTCTGTGACTGCACTCCTGGATTCCTAGGAGATCACTGTGAACTCAACGTTGATGAGTGCGACAGTCAGCCGTGTCTCCACGGAGGGCTATGTGTGGATGGGGACAACAGGTATGTCTCCTCCTACAGTTGGCTCAGTGGCTTAAAGAGATCTGGAACTATCAGACCATTCTGGAGAATTTCAACAACTTCTGCTTAAAGTTCACAGATTGTTTTATACTTAAATAATAACATGTAGCATTCACATTTTACTAAAAAGTATATTCTTTGGAGATCATCTTTTCCAATGAAGGCTTTCCAAGTTACTCCTGAAATACAGTAGTTTAGAACTGCTTATACTATGAATATCATCAGGTTTTCAAGTCTATGAAACAAACTTGTCATAAAATAGCAAAGATGCAAGAAAGAAAACTGAAGATTATTAAAATTGTGAACACGTGGTTGTATCTATATAACAAGCATATCAATAGAGTGGCAAAATAAATGTTCTAGAAATATTATATGAGCAATGTTGGAAAGGATAATAATATTTAATTATCCACATTTTGAATTCTCAATAATATGGGAAATTGGATGCGTTTTTTGAGAAAGTATAATAGTTATAAATCATCGTATCATATTTCTCCAAATCAGATTCCATCACTATCTTCCAGGCAGAAAGTATTATATGCTATACTCTAATATGATAACTATAAAAACTTTGTGTGATGGTAGTTGAGCTCACATCGAATGTTTTGAAAGATCTTTTCGATAGTTATGAAAATAACAAATAACTACATTATCAAGTACATTTGTAATATTTAACAATATTAATTTCAAGTTATCCTTTTGATCTCCAACAGCTCAGTGGATGACAAGACAGGCATTAAAGTTTCTATATTACAATAAGATATCAAAGTACCAGAAAGCTAGGTGACATCCAGAAGTCCACACAATTAATTCTTTGCAAAAGGAGAAATAGAACCCTATTTTCTTTTATTTAGTAAATAAGACATCACTTATTGCGGGTTTAATTTTAAAGTAAATGAACTCAAAAGGAGAGCTATCAGATGCATGTACACTTCAAATAGATTCATCCAAATGGTAGGATTTTTAATAGAGCAATGTGGTGCTATGGTTTCTTTTGTAAAATATAAAGCATAACTTTAATCATATTGCATACCCTTCTCTGGCTTCAGTCACTCCTAAATAATGTGCCAATGATATGAATCTCAACAAAAATAACTACAGAAGATTGTCCAACACAGACAACCAGATTACAAAGGACTTCTGACAAGATTTCCAGAGAAAAGCGAAGCTGTCCGATGCATGCTTTATTGCTTCCAGAAAGCAGGAAACACAAGTTACACAAAGCTTTCAATTTCAGAAGAAATACAAGCAAAACACTGCCAATTCTGTCACATTTTGTTGTCCTGTTTTGACTGAGGCATGAATATTTTTTGATTTTGCTACTCATATTATATTTCTTTCTGTCTAAGTTTTGAAAAGAAAATCATGAAGCCAGCCAGTGTAACTTGGCTTTATTGTCCCACAATTCTAAAATTAACATGATATATATGATAAGGCTCTTGTAGACCAAAATTGTTATGCAAATGTAATTTTTAATTCCACAAACTGAGGGACATTAACCACCCAGCCAAGCTTCTTGAGTACATGGCTCATATCTCTAATGATTTATATGTAGTAGATTTTTTGAAAGTATTTCTAATTAAACTAGTAGAATATCCTACATAAGATGTTCAACTAGGCACATGAAATTACAGTAATTTGTAATGTTTATTATTTAAGTTTTGTTAAACAAGTCAAATTACCTAAATTTGATGGTAAGTATACATTGCCCTCCTGAACAGGACTGAAACTGCTTTATAATTCATAGGAATTCCCCCTATATTCTATACCATAGAATATAGAAATTCTATATTCTAAGGTAAAAAGTGGCAAATGCATTTTCTACAATACTATGTTCTTAAGGAAGTCTTATTTAAAGAGTAGAGACACCCCCTCTTCATAAAGTCAATAGGTCCCCCCAACAGATTTACATTTGGGGACTGTCAAGTACTCTCACACAAGCAATGAATTATTAGAAATAACAAGACTATAATGTTATAAAAATGAGAATGTTGCAAGTTGCTATTTACTTAACAAAGGATTTTCCTGAGTTTTTCATAATTAATTATTGCATAAGTAACCTTTTGGTGATACAAGTCATTCTCTACAACTTTCAACAATATGAACAATTTTATTTAGTACTGTTTAATCACTATTTATGTAGTGCCTTGGGATATTTGAGATACTATATTTTATATGTACATTTAATTATCACAATTATGCTGTGATGCAAGTACTATTATCTTAAATTTACCGGTGAAGGAACTGAAAAATATAATGGGTTCCAAATGATTTTGCATGAAGCTTTACTATAATATTTTTAATGTATTTGGTATAGGGTCTCACTACTCAGCTCAGACTCCAAGTGATCCTCTTGTTTTCAGCCTCCTCAGTGCTGGTATTACAGGTGTGCACCACCACGCCTGGTCTCAGTGACTGGCTCAGTGTGCCTGGGGGCAGGGCTGGCTATAATTTTTAAAAAGATAATAATAAGACTAATATAAAAATGCACACTGCATCCAAAACAGTTGACTTAATTCTTAGGTCAGCATTAAGATGAAGTCACAGGTCTTTGATTAACCAGCAAAAGAAGAGACAGGATCCCTAGCACACACCTGTAATCCAAGCAGTGTGGGAGGCTGAGGTAAAAAGACTCAAAATTCAAACTCCACCTGGGTAACTACATGATTAAGTAAGACTTCTTCTCAATACCAAAATAAAATAGGGCTGGGGACAAAGCTCATCGAGAAGGCTGAGACCGAGGGTGGGGATAAAAATATTTGATTTCCATTGGACTACTAGTTGACAAGAAAATTTTGTTTACCCTTCAGATATAGCTGCAACTGTGTGGGTGGTGGATTCACAGGGACACACTGTGAGACCTTGATGCCTCTTTGCTGGTCAAAGCCTTGTCACAATAATGCTACCTGTGAAGACAGTGTTGACAGTTACATTTGTCACTGTTGGCCTGGTAAGTGAGAAAACAGTTTATGTCAACTTTCTTTTTTTAGAATAGAAACAAACTAGTTATAGAAATATTAAGCTAAAAATTCTTGTTACGGCTTTAAGTGAGTTCTTCTGATTATCATCTCTACCAGTACTCTTCAGGGCTCACACACACGTGCAGTTGTGCTACACACACCAGTCAGTAGTAGGTCACTAAGCTGCCCAACGACCAGAGCCACGTAGAAGGAAAAGAGGATGGAAAGTCAATAGAAATATCAATTCAATGTGTTCTTAATGGAGAATGATTCCCTGCAGGATGTTTTCTGTTTCTTTAAGATATTCTCTTAGAATATAGAAATATGTAGAAGCCCATAAAATAATATGAAAATTCTAGGAGCTTGTCTAATAATTCACAAAGTTTGTCACCATCATAATGATGGTATCCACAGAAGATAAAAGATTTTTCAGAGATAGAAGTAATATCCTAGGCACTTATAATGGCAAAAAAGATACAAGTTAAGGATATAAACCATAACTAAAAATTACGTGTGAAGGGTAATAAGACTTGGGGGTACAGGTAGTACATGAACAAATAAAAAGTAGTACACAATACTTGAGTTACTTTACTGACCATCTAAAAGTACTGATTTTAGTTTTGGTGTAATTTAATTAGGATTTATTGACAGATATGAAAAATATAGTATCTCCTCCATTTTCTTTCTTGATCCATGAGGAGAAAATGAGAAAATTATCCAAGATCTAGTTGTGTAAGAGTGGTGATTATCTTCTTAGCCTCACTCATTTATTTAAAGAAAGGATAACCCTGTAGATAGAAAGTAACATGCAGAATAGAGTCCATCCCATCGGGAGAAGCTTCTGCTTGAGATATCTCATGGCCTGAGGGACATTTGACATCTTTGGATAAATATATTATGTATATAAAGCAACCCTAAAAAAGTAAGTTGAGATCGTTCTGTAGAAATCTATGTATGTTACAGGCTCCCATTTCAAATAATAAGGGCCGGGGAGATGGCTCAGTGGAATAAGCGCTTCCCTGGCAAGCGCAAGGGCCTGAGTTCAATCCCCGGTTGCGCAAAACAAAACAAAACAAAACAAAACCCCCTGCCATTTCAAATAATAAATAGGGGATACTTACTATCTTTTCATCATCAACTTGACTTAAATACTGAAAACTTGCCCAAATGTGTCCGTATGCAGGTTTCCTGCCCAGAAGTAAGGGCTACAGTTAATGATTTGGGAATAGGATAAATCTGCCACAACTAAGTAACTTTGACAATTTGCCTCTTAATCCTTTAATTTCTCATTTGAAGAAGAGGGTAAAAATACTTTACTGGTAGTATTGTTCTGAAGGGTAAAATTATAAAAACTGCCTGGAATGTAGTCAGCACTTTAAAAGGGATAAATGCTACTGTACGCCAACCTGAACCGCATAAGATGGAACCTACGCATGAGAGAAGGACTCGGATCTACAGGGCTTGTGTTATGGAGTACAGCAGTTAGAAGATTTGTCTTTTTTTTAAAAAAGCATGTAGTCTGGGTGCACTGATGCATGCATATAATCCCAGCACTCAGGAAAGCTGAGGCAAGGAGATTGCAAGTCTGTGGCCAATCTGAAGAATTTAGTGAGAACCTGGCTCAAAATAAGAAGCGAAAAAGATCCAGAGATGTAGCTAGGTGCAAAGCCTCTGGGTTCAACTCTCAATACCATGAAAACAAAATAAAAGAAAAACAGCCTGCACAGGTTCCAGTCACTCACGGATCTAGTCAGTTAGGCTGCTCGGATTTCAGTGCCAGGTTTGCATATGTTAGGATCTGGGAATTAAAAAGACATCTACCCTTCTTCCAAAGAGACAACTCTAGCATCCTTATGAGTCTGTGAAAAAAAAAAAAAAAAAAAAAAAAAAAAAAAAAAAAACATGTGTAGAGTGATTTGGGGCACACGAGGGTGCTATAACAAATGATTTAAAGGATATTGAGAAAGAATAGGAGTGGCTTTGTCAAACAGATGTCATTTTAGAATACTTTAAAAATGGCTGAACGTGCATCAGGGATGTTTACGCTAGCTGTGTGACATTGGAACTTTAAATTCCCTGGGGTCTCAGTTCTTCATTTATAAATCAGAAATTCTGGGAATAATATCTACTTCGTAGAGTATTTTTGTACAGAGACTTTCTCCTGTATATAAAGTGCCTAGCTGAACTTGCTATATAGAATACACTCAAAAATGCTAGCAAACTTAGGAGGCTGATCATTCTAGAACTCATGGGTAGCACCAAGTAGCCCATTACTTACTTAAGGGAAGAAGAAAATAAGAAGATGGAGGAGAAAAAAGAAGTAAAAAACAGGGGAAGACACACATAAGAAGATGTTCCAATTGTGGAACTTTAAGTGATTATTAGATTATACAGAGCTTGTGTATAGACGTGGGTCTGCGGAATAAGACTGAAGCCACCAAAGCCACGAAGTTGCTTGACCTCCTTGTGAACTGTGGGGCAGGAAAGTTATATAATCTGACCTGTTGACTTTTTCTTTATTTAAAAGAGAAAAATAAAACAATATTAAAGGGGCTCTCTGGAAGCTTACCTAAAATCAACTGAAGGAGATGTCATCAAAGGCAGGGATTCTAGTGAGAATATTTTGCAGGAGTTTAAACAGAGCTGAGTCCCAGAACTAAGACATCGTCAGTTGTGGGGTGCACACAAGGGGATGGATAGTTGGGAGAGTTGTGAGAAATAATGTGGTCCAGGGTTAGGACAGTTCAACTGAGTTTCTGTCTTAGATCACTGAATGTTGATGGTTTTGTTAGAAAATTCAGCGTGCCTTTGTACCTATCCTATTATATATAGAAAGGATTTAACACTAGCACCTGAATTTAAGAAAAGAAAACCATTCAGGTGAATCATGAAACCACTGCCACAGAATGCCAGGGCAAGACTCCTCATTTCAAAACTAAGGCATTATGAGAAGATCTCACCTTAAATTCTTACCTTAGAAGTTTTCTTCATGCCCAGATGTAATTGGATGTGCTAAAAACAAACTTAACATAAAAACTCTGGGACTTGATTCAGTATTGTGTTTCTTCTTTGTTCAGACTTTTATTGAAAAAGTTGTTAAAACTATTGAATATAGTCTTGACTGAAGGAGTCTATTTATATCTATGTTTAAGGAGAGCAGCAAATAAAATCCCCACAGGGCCTCAGTTGTGGGGAAAGGACTGGCAAAACTATAAATCAAAACCTTCCTCATGTTCAGGACTGGAATAAGATAATGCATGAGCCGGAAAAGCAAAATAAAACAAAAAGAAAAGGATTTATGATGCCTGTAGATTACTTTCATACCTTGCCTATGTATGAAGGACTCTTGAGTCTTAGAATGAAAATTGAAAGTAGTCCAGGCTTCCTTCAATAAGTCCACTGTAGCACAAAAAAAATTCACTTCATAAAAATCTGTTGCAAAAATTATTATGAATTGCACACTCGCATCAGTTGTAGTGTGATGAAGGAATCATTCAAGTGTATGAGACGCTGCGCGTTCCCAGGGGGACATCATCAGAGAGGGCGGTGTGACCTGGAGCTGACAAGTTTGTTTAGTTTACTATTACTATTTTTTGTTCTTAACTTTCTTCTTCAAATGCTTGAGAAAAGCCCAAGTGTCCTATATAACATGTTATCTGTTGAGCAACAGAATGTGTGTGGTAGTTATTATTTGACCTATGACCCATTCACGTTCTTATTAAAGTTATAAAAAGAGTAGTCCCATTACCTTCTTTATTACCAGTCAATTTTCTGGTTAATATGCTAAGATAGAATTATAATGTAAATTTTTGCTGTTTTCAGCCTACCACCATTACTTACTAGTATTACTACCATTACCTACTATTTTATTATTCATTTTTTCATTTTTTCATGGATTAAAGGTCTGATTGCTCAGTAGTGAATAAAAGAAACAGTCTCTGTTTTCTCTAAAGCTTAGAGTCAGCTGAGGGAGATGATACATAGATATAAATATATAATTAAACATTATAGAGATTGGGAGGTGAGAGAGAAAGGGGGTGACCTATTCAGATGTGCTCACAATTCTGAGTCAGTGATACCAAATAAAGCCTGAGAACAGAGTCAGAGCTGGCCAAGCAAAGGTTTGGGGTTTTCTAGGGCAAAGATTAGTGTTTTGAGGCCCGGCCAAATAGCTCAGGGTTTAAAGCACCTGCAAGCAAGCGCAGGGGCAGGGGGTTTGGTCCCCACCTTCGGGGCATGCTGAGAGGGCAATTGAGACTGGGCGTGGTGGTGTGTGCCTGTAATCCCAGCTCTTGGGAGGCTGTAAACAGGAGGATCACTAAGCATCTGATCTAGCAGTGAGACCCTAAACTACAAAAACAAAGAGGGCAGGACAGCCTTTCAAAAGCCACTGTGGGTACAAAACATTCTTGGGGGAAGGGGAGAAGATGGTGAATAAGCTGAGGTAGTAATGCAGAGGTGGAAGGCTTTCATTATAATGAGAGCATTCCTGGGTTCTGGTAAGGACTTTGTATTTTACGCACTGTATAAAAGAAGCCATTGTGTGATTTTAAAATAAAAATATTGGAATTTGATTTATAACTTATCATTTAGGATTGTAAATTTTGTTTAAAAACATATTTCTCAGCAGATTTAGTGACATTACAGAGTCCTTCAGATGACTGAAGTCACTTATATTGTAGCTGTAATTATGTTTATTTAAGAACTTCATATATTGGTCAGTCCATCTCACAAAACGGCTGTTATTTCATTGTCCATCAGTATTATATTAGTATTTCACTAAATTTACATTTGGGGGCTGCTGTGACACACAGCTTACAAATAATCATAAATCAATAAGCTAATAAAAAAGCAGGAACATGATATAAAACATTATTAGCTCCAAAATGTTAAACTCAATATATAGCTGAGGGAGATGTAAATTAAAACAAGAATTTTTTTTATCCTACCAACTACAGAAAATTTTTATATTTAGTCACAGTAAATATTAGGAAGTCTTTGGTGTGATATACACACTTTTCCACTTGTGTAATAGGTAAATGCAGAACTACTTTAAAGAAATGTTCCTGCCTCTACCAAAAAATGTATATAACTTATAACCCAGAAATTCCATTTATAAGCATAAACTAGAAGTTTTTTCTAAAACACCCATCACGTAAGTAATGATATTCATTGCAACATTGTAGTAGAAAAAAATACATACAATCGATAAAGGTAAGGTTAAGCCATGGTACTTCTATATTTTGGGATACTTGGCTGTGCGAGGGAATGGACAGAGCAGGTTTCAGAGGGCTGCGTGTAGTGCTAGCCTAGTTATGCAAACAACACACACAGTGAAATCGTGCATTTTAATGGCTGCATATGTATGTGAAAAAAAGGAACAGTTTGCATAGAGAAAGTTGCTCATATTTAATATTTTAATGTTTTATAAAATGATAAATCATTGACTTTTTAAAAAAATTCCTGGCCCTATATAGTTATTAAGCTGATTCTATACAAATATAAAATAATATAATCTTCTATTTCACTGTATTAAGAAATAACCATTTACCTTTCATTTAAATTTTAAGAGAAACATTTAGGGTTTACTTAGCAAATACTGACTTTTTAGCTATTCTCTATAAAAATTATCTTCTTGATAAAAACATAAACAATTGGAATATTTAACAAATTAAAACAAATGGTATTCCATTTTATGAAATGTTTAGTTTAAAATATTCAGGTTGGGCTAGGGAGATAGCTTAGCAGTCCAAGCGCCTGCCTGGCAAGCTTAAGGATCCTGGTTCAATCCCCAGTACTGCAAGCCATGCTGGCCCCGGAACCTTGGGTGTGCCCTACCAGCCACCGCAACCTAATGTGGTTGCACATGCCTGTAATCCGAGTGCTGGGGAGGCTGAAACAGGAGGATCACTAAGAGTCTGAGCTGCATAGCGAGGCCCTGTACCAAATGCATAAATTTAAAAAAATATATTTCAGGTTAAATCAAGAAGACCCTTAAGCTCCATTTATTTATTTTCATTTTATGGAAAACAGGTAAAACAAAATTTTGTAACAAGATAACAGGAGAGTAACAATAGCTAATACATTGCATATTGTTATCTTTAACGTAGTTACCCAGATTACAAGGTATGGGCATAAAATCTCTCCAACTAACACAATTGCTAGTCATGATCTGCACATAAACCTCCTCTCAGCAGCTTCCCCTGGCTGGCTCTACGAGGGTGGCGGCATGCTAAATGGCCCCCACACAGCGCTCAGTCTCCTTTAAGACATATGCGTACAAGTCGAGAGCTTTGACTCAGCAGCTCCTCTGAACTTTACCCTGCAGGATACACAGGTGCCCAGTGTGAGACGGACATAAACGAATGCAGCAGTAATCCCTGCCAGTCCGGTGGGGAATGTGTTGAGCTGTCCTTGGAGAAGCAGTATGGACGCGTGGCCCAGCTGCCGTCTTCATTGGGCAACCGCCGAGCCGCAGGTTACGTTTGCGCTTGTCAGCCTGGATTCACAGGTGAGGCCAAAGAGACAGGAACTGACTTCGTGCGTTTTAGGAAAGACCATGGATGTACCCAAGTGGTGCGTTAGCAGCAAGACTTGTGCGTTGTAAACTCTGTTGCCATGGTACAAAGGGTCCCCCTTGTGGGCGTGAAAAATATCTTGGTTCCTGTATCACAATTCCTTAACTCATGAAAAGGTTCAAAATAGGGATGGAGAAGATGTGTGTTCATACATTTTCCTGGAAATTGCAGTGCATTTCAAAGTCCTTACTTTGTGAACCAAAAACATCAGAATTTTTGTCATTAAATTTTTATAATGCTGCTAAGTTTTATGTTATTCAAATTTGCTAACAGTTATTATATTTATTTATCTTTGCTTTGGGACCAGTTATCTAATTTCAAGGAAACTTTCTCAGCTATTCTATAGCTAAAATCACTCCATACATCAAATTTAAATTACTACTCTATCTTTATTTATAGCATTCTTACTCTAAAACCCAGAGGAAATTTGCATGTATGTTTTTCAGTGAACAATTGTGTTTGTGTCTGCTTCGTGTTGGGAAAACTTTCAGAATTTTCAATTCCCAACATGCCGATAGGTAGCAATTTACCCAGGACAGCATAAAGACCAATGAGAAAGCCAATTAAGACTTAGATTTCTTCCTCATGTTTTCATGAACTGATTCAATAATAAATACTTCACCAAATGTTTCAGTTGTTATCGGGATTTCTGAGCAAAGTAATAAAAAAATAAAACGTAGAGGTCTATTTATACTTAAGTTTCTCTTTTGTTTAATATTTCAGTTTCAAAGATTAATGATCTTTGATTTGTGGCACTGTTTGCTGTAAAGTTGTGGCGGAAGCTATTTGTTTATTCGTTGCTCTATGAAAATACATGTCATTCTCTGGCTAAGTCGGATTTCCCCCGAGGAACTTTTCACTTGCATGCCTTTTACCTTAAACTGAAAAAGGTATGCAAATAAATCTTGATAAATGATAAAGAGCATGGGCTTTCCAGTCATGTAGACCGCTACAAATAAACGTAGGGTTTGTAAACATACAGGTCTATCTGGGATAT